TAGGCCAGAGAATTTATCTGTCCAAGGGGTCAGATTAACCTCTGGGACTGATGGGAAGACTGTAGCCATCTCTCAAGTCTGAGCTTCCAGAAACAAGTTCCTTTGTAGTGGGCCCACAAGAGATCAAGGCCAAACCTTTGAAGGAGACCTTTGAAGAGGGTGGGCCTTTTGCTCATTTCATATTTAACTTGAAGGTGATCACCAGAAGGGATCGTATCATCTACTTCTGTTTGCAGTCAGTTCATCCAATTTCCTGAGATACCACGTCTGTTACCCCATGAAGAAATGAACTGAGCTGTTTTTCATTTCAATTTTGAGTGTAATGAAACTTTTCATCCTGCTTTAATGTTGTTACAGAAGAATTCTAGGCACCTTATTATAGATTCATTCTTTTTAAGGCATTTTCCCGGTGCCTCCAGCCCCAGCGGAGGGTACCGGCCTCGTAGATATTCAGTGTGAGCGAAGCTGGCTTCTAAAGAAATCAGTGGAAAGCACCAGTGCATATTTGAACCTGAGTTAGGGTTATGTCTGCTTGGTTCATTTAGTGATCTGATTCTTAAAAAGAGTCTATTTGATTTATCTATGTGTTCATATTAATTAAAATCCCCCAAAGCTGGCTACATCTACTGAAGACCAGACATTAAAAGAAATGAACTTGAAAAAACCATCCTGTTTTGAAAGTATTTCTAAAGGGCTTTGAAACTGATTACAAGGGAGAATTCACAGCCTACCTACCTGTTTGGCCGTCTTTCGAAGAGTATGTAGCAGTGGGGACACCTTCTGGAGCTTTTATAGAAGTGGCCATTTCTCACAGAAATCCCTCTGGAGAGCTTCATGGAGATTCTGGGTACATTCCTCCACTACTCATCTTGCAATAAAACTCTTTGTGGGATGTCACTTCAAGGCAAGGTCAACTGTGGCTTGCTTTTCCTTACCTAGATTACAATCAGGATGGAGGCCTCATCGTCAAAAAAAAAAAAAAAAAAAGTTCTAGACAATACACTGTATGTTCTTTATGTTGTGGCTTCCAGTTACCCCTAAAGTGAAAAATCCTGCAAGTCACTGCCATGGGCCTGGCGTGGCAGAAGTAACCAAGGATAAGCCCTTACCCGTTAAAGAGGTAGACCGACCACCCAGCAAAGTTGGTTAAGAGTGTGAGCTTTGGTGCCAGGCTAACTTATCTCAGCCACTTACTAGCTCTCTGAGCTTCAGTTTTGTCATCTGAAGGCCAAGGACCATCACAGTACCTACCTCATCGAGCTGTTGTGAAGATTTAATTAGGGAGTCCTTATTGAGTGTTTCAAATAGTACCTGGTAGAGAGTAAGTGATGAGTAGTGTTGGCTGCAGGTACTTAACTCGGGCCTGTTGTAGTCTGTTTGGACCTGCTATAACAGAATAGCAGAGACTGGGTGGTTTTCAAGCAACACATATCCATCTCTCACAGTTCTGGAAGCTGAGAAGCCCAGATAGTGGCACACCTAGGTAGACTTGGTGTCTGTCTGGTGAGAAGTGCTTCCTGGTTCACAGATGGTGTCTTTCTGCTGTATGTTCACAGGTGGAAGGGCCGAGCTAGCTCTGTGGGCTCTCCTGGATAAGGGCATAAATCCCAATCATGAAGGCTCCGTCCTCATGACCTAATCACCTCTCAGAGGTCCCACCTCCTAATGCCATCACCTTACAGGTTAGGATCCCAACATATGAAATCTGGGGGGACACAAACATTCAGACCATAGCATGGCTCTTGTTTGACCACCAATTTTTGTGACCTTCCTGCCACCATCTTCTTTGTCCATGGTTCTTAGCCTTGAGTGCACAGCAGAATCATGTTGGAAGCTTTTAAATATCCTGACTCCAAGTAAATCAGAATGTCTGCAGTTGGGACTCAGGCATCAGTTGATCTTACAGTTCAGCAGGTGATTCCAACGGACAGCTGCAGGGAGAACCACTGTTCTAGAAGCTCCGATTGCAACGCCTTTGGGGAACCTTTAAAAATATGATTTTTATCCCCAAAGTTCTGGGTAACTTGAATTTCGGCTAATCAATGATGTGCCACCAACTTCCCCCTTAGCATAGGTGACCAGTTGGAAGCATTCTGGGACATAAGTCAAAGGGCTAAGGCAGGCTGCTTTCATAAGGGGTATGTGTCTGCAGTTTGCTTCCCTTTCTCATGTGGCAGAGCTGGGACGAGCTGGTAGGGAAGGCACTGAGCCAGCCCCATCTGTCATTTGCTTCTCAACGTGGGAGGTTCAGCAACTGTAAGACCACAAAGCCAGGCAATAAATAAGGAAACGTGGCTGGGACTTTGTTTGTGCCTGGAGGGGCTCAGGAATTTGCCTACTTTTAACATGAGATAGAAAACAGGGGCCGATCTAATCTGGAGCAGGTTTGTGATGAGTGGAGGTAGAGGAAGGGAAGGAATTCATCTGAATCCCAACAATGAAGGTGTTCCCCGGCTTAGCCCCAGCTCAAGAGCAGCTCAGGGCATTGGACTTTTACCCTGACTCAGGCACCCTCCTGAGGGTTCTGCATATTAAGCCTCAAGCAATCAGGTGAGGAGGACTCTATCACCCACACAGTACCCAGGTCACGTAGTGTGTGAGTGGGGAAGCCAGAGTTCAAACCCAGGCTTTCTAACCCACCCCCCCCGGCCCCCACCCCCGGCCTTGAACTGAACCACTGTGCCCTCTGCACGTCTTGCCATCAGAGCACTTGTATCCTGAATGATACCCATTCCTATGTCTCTGACTCTGACCCACTGGCCTCTGAGTCCCTTGAAGCAAGATTTGGCCTTCTTATCTTTGGAATCATATAATGCTGCGGTGGTCTCCCTAGAAACAGAGCCTGAGATGGTGATTCTTGGGCAGGTGTTTTATCGAGGGAGGCTCTCCGGAGAAACTGTAAGAAAAATGAGACAGGCTGAGGGGAGAACTAGGGGATCTGCCTGACCCCATGGGGAGCTCTGGGGTGTAAATTGCCTCTGAGTTTGTGGCACGTAGAGCCTTCACTCTCATCTAGCCATCCTGGCCTGCAGTTCCTACCCTAAGGGGAGGGAGGGCATAACCGTCCAGGCAACTCCCACTGAGCCAGAGAAAGGGGCAGCCAACACCCAGAGCACCTAGTGAATGGGTGCATCGTCCTGGTGAAAGAGATCTAAACAGTATGCCAACTACAACTGCTACAGCCGTTATTTTAAATTTATATATATATAGCATATGAGCCAAACACCTTTTTTCCAGCCAGTGGTGGTTTTCACCCTTCCTAGGGACACTCCCAGAATCCAGGTGCAGTGAATCATTGGATTAGAAGTCACTGTGTCTACTGCAAGGCTGCTCCCCCACCCCACACACGCCCCCCCCCCCACTCCACCCCGAGACCCAGGCTGCCTGTTCCGACACCAGCACATAACCACCACACAACCCTTCGGTCTCCGCATATCATCTGAACCACGGCACAACGTCTTAACTGCAACACAAGCGTGTTCAGGGGCGTTATTAGGATGCAGCCCTGCTTCCAGTGAAGGGAGAACAGCAAACAAGACTCGTGAACTTTTTAAATCTGCAGCACAAAAGAGGGTATTAATCCTAACTTACCCAAGAGTCGAAAATAAAATAGGAGGAGGGAACTGCTGGGCCCAAACCAGTGTGGCCAACGGACAGGGTGTCTGACGTTCACGTGATCTGTCACAGCTAAAGGGAGGGGTTCTTCCCTGGCTGCTCTGGGGACGCTAATATGGGGAGCTCTGGAATTGGAGCAATACTGATTTTCCTTGTTTGCTATGTACTCTCTTTTAAAAATAACTGGACTTAATCCTGTTGGGGTCAGCATAACAGGAAAGTAATCATCGGATCCTGAGGGTACAATGAAATCTGATCCCCCCAAACCACCAACATTGTTTCAATTTTTTGGAGCAGGTTTTTTCTTTGAATGGTAAATTAAAGCCTTCGTTATGAGAGAGGTTTCACATTCTCCTGTGGCTCCGTCTGTTTGCAGTAGGGCTGCTCTCCCAGCCTCCTTTGTTTCCTCTCCCTTCCAGTTGTTCAGGTATCATGATCAGCGGAGGTGTTGTTTTTCCTCAGGTCTGCAGACACACTACAGCTTTCAAGTTTTGCTTTACAGATATTCCCATATGCTTTTTTTTTTTTTCCCGTTCATCCCAGGAGTGTGCACATGTTGGATGACAGAGTGCTGTTATGTGGGGCAGCTCGGCAGAGTCTCCCCAGGCGTCTCCGCTGACCTGGGGTGATTTAGTGAGTGCTCTGAATCGTCCTCTGCTGATTTGCACTGTCCCTAGCTGGGAAGGCTGAGTGATAGCCTCCTATTAATTATCACCTCCAGTCCTTAGCCATCTTGTTGCCATTCCTACCCACCGTGGGTCCTAAATCTGGCTGTATATTAGAATTACCTGGGAAGGCTGTTAAAAATCTAATTCCTGAGCCCTGAGACCTGCCGAATCAGAATTTACCCAAGACTGGGGTTCAGGAATCTTTATTTTAATAAGCTTCCCAGCCCCCTGCCCAACATGGGCCCTCAGCTGAAAATGGTGTGGTTTCAGCCTAAGATAAAGTCAACTCAAGACAGCGGGCCTGGAAAAAACCAAAGTGGAAGCTCATGGAAGAAGTTGAAATGAGCTTTTGCGCTCTTCTCCAAAGACTTAGGGAGTGGGGTGGAGGTGCAGTGCAGCCCTGACTGGTGGTGGTGGCTGCTGCTTTTTTTGTAACGCAAGTGCCTGACTTAAGCTTTGATTGCCGATGCATCTGCTTCAAAGAGGCACGGCTTCAGAGGCGCGATCTCCAATAACCAACAATGTCAGCCACCCAGCGGGATAGGGAGCCAGGCTGCCTCCCCGCACCGACGTTCCTTCGATTTCGAAAGCTTGGTAGATCTGGATAACCAACCATTTGGGCTCCTTGTCTCTGCTCTTCCCTGCGCTTTCCCACCGAGCACTGGTTGGCAAAATAACGTGTGCCTCTGTCCACCCACCCCCCCCCCGCCTTTGTAGGTTCGTGTCATGGCCAAGGAAGGCCTACAGTGCCCCGCTGTCCCAGGTGGAGTCCATCCCAGTAACCTCCGCTTCTGCCAGCTCACCAGCGGTGCCAGCGATAGAGTCCCCCAAGATGGATCTAAATGATTTCGTTAAGTAAGTGCAAAGGCAAAGCCAGAATGGAGTTTTTTTAAAATAGCAATTTTTTTCCTCCACACTGACTTCCATTCTCTAACTCACCCCTTATTTTTTCATCCAGCCACTCACTAGTCAACAGTTTAGGGAGTGCTTTCTGTGCATGATGCCCTGGACCGTGCATCTGAGATAGAGTGGAAAATCATTTCTACTTTCAGGAAGTCACAGCCTCCTGAGTCCTGGAGGACTAAGCCCTTCCCATCACATTGCCCTCTCTCCATCTGTCCAGGGTCTGCAGCCAGGGTCAGGTCAAGGGTAGCAAGCAGAAAAGGATATGGCAGTTGGCCAAATAGTATATCCTCACAGTAAAATGCTCCAGTAAATAATGAAACTTAACCTTGAGCACTGGGGACACAGCAAATTGTCTGAAGAATTGCTAGAGCTTCCCAGAATTTCTCGTTATTTGGACATGGGCTCCGTCGGCCAGGAAAGGAGGGTTGGAGCCTATGGAAAATTGGCCAACCCAGTGCCCCAGAGTCCATGTTTGGGGGCAGGGAGTAACAGAGCACTGCCCAGCTGAAGAACGTGTTGTGATGGTTGCCAAATGAGTGATTCAACACATTTCATTCAACTCTCCAGGACTGTCTTCACGGATGAAGATGTTGGGTGCGAAGAAAGAGAGTACAAGAAAGTACAAGTGCCCACCGTGGTCATCTCAGATGAACGGTTTCCTCTCCACAGCGTGGCTTGGCAAGTCGAGGGCCCTTCCTCTAAAACAAAAACAGAGGCAGGAGCAATGGCAAGTGTCACACTGGGGTTTGGGTGGGATGAGGCTAGGGAACGTCATCTAGGTCACTTCCCAACCAAACACCCCCAGAGCCAGCATCTCAGTGAGAGCCACCCACCACAGCACATAAATTTTTCTCTCTAATGAAAAAGCTTGTTACCTCAAAACCATGGCATTCTTCTCAGCCCCTAGATAGAGCCTACAAAAGGAGAAAGATTTTCCTCAATCATTCCACAGTAAAAACAAAGGGGAGATCAAGGGACTTTAAAAATTCATACCTTTAAATTCCCCTTCTAGATGGATGGCCTAAGGAAATCATTGGAGATAAAAAGATTTAGGTACAAAGGTGTTTGTCACAACACTTTAGAAATGGCAAAAAATTAGAAAAATAAATGACTGTATATCTATGGACAATATACAGTCTTTTAAAATAGGGTTTGTCTCAGTAGTGGCAGGTGGGAGTAAGCAAGCATTTTCATACTTTGTAGGTAAATTAGGAATTGGCATAGCCTCCATGACATACACTTTGGAGAGTGTATCAAAATTTAAAATGCACAGTTCCTCTGCTAGGATACTCTTCTCCAGATACACCTTTACATTCTCATAGACATGTAACTCCCCTTGTACCCTGCAGCTTTGGTGGTAAAAGCAAGAAAAATTGGAAACAATTTTACCCCACCAATAGGAGACTGGCTGAATAAACCAAATTGTATCTGCACAAGGCAATACTATAAAATCTTTTTAAAAAAATGAGGAAGTTCTCTAACACAGTCTCTGATATATTAAGTAAAAAATACATGTTCAATATTTATTTTTTATTTTATTTTAATTCCAGCAGAGTTAACATACAGTGTTACATTAGTTTCAGGTGTACAATATAGTGTGATTCAACAAGTCTAGACATATGCAATAAACATAGGGGTGCATGTATCCTTTTGAATTAGTGTTTTCATATTCTTTAGGTAAATACCCAGTAGTGGCATTACTGGATTATATGGTGATTCTATTTTTATTCTTTGAGGAACCTCCACACTTTTTTTCCACAGTGGCTGCACCAGTTTGCATTCCCACCAACAGTGCATGAAGGTTCCTTTTTCTCCACATCGTCACCAACACTTGTTGCTTGTGTTTTTTATTTTAGCCATTCTGACAGGTGTGAGGTAATAGCTTATTGTGATTTTGATTTGCATTTCCCTGACGATGAGTGATGTTGATCATCTTCTCATTTACCTGTTGGCCACATGTTCTGTTTTTTAGAGGTATTTTAGATGATGCTTGTGAAGAATATTTAGTCACATGGAAAGGCAGCACTCATATCAACTGACAAGTCAGAATACAAATACATATCCTTATATAAACACATTATATACAGACACACATATATACATACATCTATAGTATAACTTAGTAATTGATTTATATTTCTCTCTTTGAAGCTTTCTGGATTTTCTGGATTTTTTAGAATACATATATGGATGTAAAGCACTTGTCTTTTAAATGTTTTCTTTTTTTCTATGTTCAAAGAGGTTTGTTCTAGAAAACTGAAGAATACAGAAAAATGAAAGCAATAATTCTCAAAATGCCACCGTTTATAGAAAAGTGCTCCTGAAATTTTAGCAACCTCCCAGCTAACTCTGTTTGCATATACAAATCTCTGAATGAATTTGCACATGCTTATACATTCAGGTGTGATACATGGGCATATGTAATTGTACATTAATGGAACTGCTTTTTCACTCAATAATATGTTGTGCATATGATTCCCAGTCCATAAATATACACCGAATTATCCTCCATGGATGGAGGCACCACACACTCTCCATTTAAAGTGATCCCCTGTTGATAGGCATTTAGTTTGCTTCCAAAGTTTTGCTATTATAAGTAGTGCTGCAGTAAACATCTTTGTACATATATTTTGGGCACTTGTCCAGTGATCTCCATAGGAAAAAAATGTACTATTTTTAAGGTATAAATAATATACTTCAGTTTTCTCTCACTGAGTGGGGAGGAGCACATTGATGACCCATTGTGAATGCTTACTAGCTTTTCCGCACACCTCTAATTTCTAGGGATTAAAACTTAACTCTGCTGAAACGGAAAAAACAGACCCAAATCTGAGCCAGGTGGAGTTTCAGGAACCCCCATGGATTTTTGAGCGAGAAGAAATGCTTTCCATGGGGATAGAAGAAGTAAGTAACACGTCATGGGCCCTGAAGTCATGTGATACTGACTCTTCTTACTGAGCACCTGCCCCAAGTTGGAAATTTAAATCCTGCCAGGCCACTACACCCCCTATTATCATCATTTATGTGCAGTGTTCTGGGCTAGTCACCTTTCATGGAGTCAAACGAATTAAAGTCAGGAATTAACCTGTAAATTGACTAAAGCTTAACCTACTCTTTGCAGACCCTCCATCCCAATTTTGATGCTCTCCTACAGAATGACTTACAGGTGTTTGGTATTACAGGTGTTTGATATTCTGCCCCTCTACGGAGTGCTGCGGCCGCACAGTAGCCACCAGATATCCTTCACCTTCTATGGACACTGTGATATCATTGCACAGGCTAAAGCCCTGTGCGAAGTGGAGGGAGGGCCCACCTATGAGATAATGCTGAGGGGAGAGGCATCCCTGGTCAACTATTCCTTTGACACCAAGGATATTAACTATGGATTGCAGGTATTGCCAACTACAGGGAGGAGATTTCCCGGTTTCACCTTAAACATCACACACAGTTCTGTGCTCTAACCTCTCCTGGAACCCCGGCTCATCACAGTCTCACCGCCACCCCTAACCTTGATCTCTGATCCACCTCCCTAACCCTGATCATCCCACCGCCAACTGCTGGCCAGGCATTTTTGCTTGCTTCTCTGTCTCCTGGAATTCAGCATGTTACACGCATTCCCTCTCAATCCAGAAGCCCATACCGACCTCCTTTTCTTTCAACAGCACTACCACCTTCTCAGCCCCATAAGTTTACAGTCTCCAAGGCATTTGCCACTGAACTCTCTCTGTCGCCTCTCCGTCCTTACCAGCATCCGTGCTTGCTAATTCATCCTGCAGGACCCCTTGGCATCGGTTTGCCCTTCCCATGGCCACTGAGGTTCTCACAGCGCCGGGGCTTCTCAAGCCATGCCTGAGATAGGACAGCAGATCTTCTCAAACCATACTGTGCATATGAGTCACCTGGGAATCTGGTTCCAGTGCAGATTCTGATTCAGTAGGTCTGGGGTGGAGCCTCAGACTATCGAGCATTTCTGTCAAGCTCCCAGGTGATGCCGAGGACCACCACATTCATAGCTTCTGCCACTAACCTGTCTAGACAGCACTGCCACATAGACTTTCCCCAAACTGCATTTTCATCCTCTCAGCCCCAGAACAGTCAACCCCGGCAGCCTTTGGGAAAGCAGCATAGTATTGAGAAAAGAGCATGGTTCTGTAGTCAGAAGAACTGGGATGTCACCCCAGTTTGACTTCCTACGGACTCCGGAACCTTGAGCATATCACCTGACCTCTCCAAGCCGCAGGACCCCTCATCTATAAAATAGGGTAGCAGTGCCTGTCTCCCCAGGTGGTTGTGGTCATTTAATAAAGTGTCAGTACTGTGCATGGGTCAGGGAAGCCTCCCATCCTGAGTCCCTTTCTCTGTCACCCATTGGATCAGAGCCAAGCTCCTCCACCTGGGTGAGGGTCTCCTAAGCCCCTCTATTAACTGATGCTCCTTACACATTAAATTTCATTTCTTCCCATTAGAGCCCATTCATCCATTTGTGGACAAACTGGTTTACCCACCGACCCTACTCCTTCCCAGCCCTTCCTGCCTCAGTACTTCCTCTTATATTATCCCTCTTCTCTACTCTTCCAACCCCAAATCTACACATACTGTAAGACTCCACTCAGCTCCCTCTTCCAGTTTTTTTTCTCTTTGCATTCTCTCTCTCTTAAGAGTATACTTAAGGGCACCTGGGTGGCTCAGTTGGTTAAGCGACTGCCTTCGGCTCAGGTCATGATCCTGGAGTCCCGGGATCGAGTCCCACATCAGGCTCCCTGCTTAGCGGGGAGTCTGCTTCTCCCTCTGACCCTCTTTCCTCTCATGCTCTCTATCTCTCATTCTCTCTCTCTCAAATAAATAAATAAATAAAATCTTTAAAAAAAAGAATATACTTAAGTATATTTTTGCCATAAAATAATGTACATTCTAATTTTTGTTTTGGAATAATAGTTAATTCTATGCCTGTGCATCTTCTTTTCCCAATTAGATTTGTGTTATGTACTCAGAAACCGTATCTCCTACCAAATTATAATGGGAATTAGACACCTCCCCCCATTATATAGCTACTGCATGTATAATTACTGAATTCTGGGTGTGCATGTGTGTTTGTAGGTTAAGGATTGTGCCTAAAAGCAAATTCAGCCGACACCTATTGAGACTTTGTCCATTGAGTTGACCAAATAGAATTCTCTTTCATTCTTATCTCCAGGGTCTTCTGGGCAAGTAATTCTGGCTCAGCTCAGAGTGTATTCTTTGAAGCAGCCAGGCCTTGCCCTAGCTTATCCTGAGAACCCCCAAAGTGGCCTCAGTTTGTGGTTATTGGACCTGCTGATTAGCTGCTGAACTGTGTTAGTAAAGTCTCAGGAAAAAATACATCTCGCCTGTTACTCCCATGTCTCTCCATATAAATAGAAAAATCGTAATTCTGAACACAAATCTTATACCAAAAATCAACAAATATTAGTATAGGAAAGCTTACTTTTATGACCCTCCATTATGAGTTCTTTGTGGTGAAGCAGCTGAGGTGCAGAGGGTTAGACACCCCCACACACAGCCCCGCTAACCTGAACTAGTCATCAGAAGAGCTAACGTGGAGCCAGGTTTCCAGGGCCTGGTGCTCCTCCCTCTCCAGCAGCCACCTTGTGGTGACAGTGAAATGCGTATTGGCCCGCGTCTAGATCATGAAAACTGAAATCCGTGTCTGTGAGGCTTGTTTGTCCACCCGCCTTTGCCAGGATGATAGCAGCATCCCAAAGGGTGGCTGACAGCAGTTCCCCTTCTTCTCTCAAGCTGTTCAACCACGTCACAGAGAATGAGATCACACTGAGGAACACTGGGAAAGTTGGCTTTGAGTTCAAGGTTCTGACTGACCACCTGTCTTCACCAGACCACCTTCTGCCGGGAGTGCCCCTAATCCTGCCCCTCTCGGTAAGTAGCCTCCTCGCCCACAATGGCTGTGGGGCAATGGTAGGAAGGACCCAAGTTCAAACCTGCAAGCCACACCCCCGTGGCATGCGAGATTATGCTAGACATTCACCGCCAGGATGATGGGTGTGATTTTTTTTTTTAAACTAAAAATAAAGGGTTCTCAGAAGCAATAAATAAATACATAAACCCAAGCACTTTACTCATTTATTAAACAAGGATTTATTGAGTCTTGCGTGAGCTAGGCACCGAACAGTAACCAGGGGTTCCACTGTGAACAAGACAGTATAACCCTGTAGGGTTTTTTTCGTGATTATAAGAATGGTTTGTTTCCACTTACGTTCTCACACTTCCCTTGTAATTCCTTGAAGCCAAGCGCCTCCTCCCCACTTGGATTAATCCTTTCCTTTTTAAAGTACAGTTTTATCATGCATGGATGCATCCTTAAACTGCTTTTGGTTGATGAATTTTTCCAAACTTATAAGCACCCACTATGTCCAGGTATTTTCCTGGCACTGGGGATGGCATAGCATAGTAAACAAAACAGATACATATACTTGATCCCAAAACTTGGAAATTTTGTTTTATCAGATTTGTCTTTATCTTGAGTTTTACGGAAATGGCACCGGTAATGTAATCTTGTAACTTTTGCTTTTTTTCATCCAATATTATGTTTCTAAGACTAGTGCACGTTGTTGCATGTAGCTGTAGTTCATTTATTTTCACCATTAAATGATATCCCTTTATAATTATTGAAAGCAGTTTTTCTTTTTCCTGTCAAAGCACATTTGGGATTTTTCCCTCCTAAAATTTTGCTGTTGGAAACAATCCTCTACAAATATTCTCATACCTGTCTCCTGGTCTGCAGATGGAAGCATTGTCTTGGGGAATTTTCCTAGGAGTGAAATTTCTGGGTCGTGGGCTTTGCATATGTCCAATTTTGATAAGATGGCGCTAAAACATTTTTCACTGTGTTTTTTTTTTCCCCATTGGCATTCCCACCAGACGTATATGTTTCTTTTGATACATATTCTCACCAAAATGTGGTCCTTTTTGGCAATATGTGGTTTAAAAAAAATTCATCACAGTCCTAGTTTCATTTCCCTGGTTGTTTATGAGGATGAGCATCTTTTACTGCATTTATTTGCCATTCATCTTTCCTCTTTTATGAAATAACTGTTCACATATACTACCTAACTGTTCTATTGCTTAGTTGTCATTTTAGCATAGCTTCATATGAATAAACGGAGAATAACCAGCACAATAGGCCTGTGGGACTGTCCTATCCATTAAGTCTCCAGAAGCAGGATCCATTGTAAATATTAACGTTCTCTTCGGTCTTTCTGCTACGTAGGGTTTTATCAGTTCACATCAAGAGCAGGTGTTGAAGGTGTACTACTTACCTGGAGTACCTGAGGTCTTTCAGAGGAGTTTCCGGATACAGATTGCCCACCTGGACCCAGAAAATATCACTCTGCGTGGAGAGGGTATCTTTCCCCGAATCTGCCTCGATCTCCCCAGGAAACTCCACGGTATTACTACCCACTATAGTATTTGCCCACTGGGGAATGAAAAATGCATTCTGCTTTGTTTATTTGAAGGTAGCTTGGCAGTCCTCACTGGTTTCCTTCTGTGTGATTCCTCAATTGCAAAAAAAAAAAAAAATCGAATTGAAATTGACCTGGTGACCTGAGTTTAATGAGACAGGATATGGTCCATGACAGTACCAAAATTAAGATCCCTGACCAATTTTGCCATCAGTGAATTGCATATAGAGGGATCAGGAAGTTGCCCTTTGAAAGGCCTTTTCCTCCAGCACACGTTCCTTCCAGCTACAGTCTCTCCCTGAATTGTCCTTATTGTGGCACATTCACGGATGGCCATTGAGAGGTGAAGGCTGATTTTACTCCAATGAGTAGAAATCCTAAAATAAAAACTGTACAGAAAGGCAACCAAGGTTCTGACCCCTTCCGTGTGTTGGCATTACACAGTTTAGAGGCTAATATAGACTTTGATTAGTTGTCTGCCCACATGCTTAGCTGAGGTTTCTCTGGTACCATCTAGCCCTTGGAGCCATCCCTCTGGGCCCGAAGACTTCCATCTTGGCAAATCCCAAAGCTCAGCTGAGCAGCTGTCTTAGCCATGCACTCTCTGGCTCCTTCTTCCTGACATGGGGTGCAAGATGAAGGGTTAAGACAAAGTTCTCATTCTTCTTTGTGACTCATTCAAGCTCCTTGAAATCTTTGTTCCACAGACAGCTTCAGACTAAGCCCTCCTACCCAGCCTTTCCCCCTCCCAAATCACTGTGCCCCAAATCACTGGCTTGCCTGTTGATGATCACCCATGACATCCTGACTGTCTGCTCCCTGAAAATACAAACACAAATATTAGTACATTTAAGACCATGTTATACTCTAGCATCTAGAGTTCCAGCCAGACAGAGGTTAGTCCAGCTCCATATAAAAGTGTCAGGAGGGAAAGCCTTTGCCACTTGGTTGAAAACCCAGTGCCCAGCGGGCCTCTTTAAGGCAGTAGCCACATTTGGCCAGCAGAGGGCTTTCAGAGAATGTACATCTGAATACTATTAGTTCTGAATACTTCTAGGTGGGTCTCCTGTACTCCAGTTCATTTCGAGTCCAATGCTTCCTATTATTCCAGAGTAGGCACTTTAATTTCTCTGCCTACCTCGTCCCTCAAACATTTGAATTTACACTGGCTTACTGGTGAACTTGGTGTCTGAAATCTCTCCACCGATTGCCTACATCCCTGATTCGGGGGATTGAAACCTGTTTAGTTACAGTTATAGCTGCAAATATAGTCCTTTTGTTTACTGAGATTTAATAAACATGCAAAGTGACTTAAAGGATGACCGGCCATCAGAGTGTGTCCAGCATGGAGGGGGCTCCCAGTTCATGCGGCGTTCAGTGCTAGACCCAGGAAAGCACCAAGGAAGCTGGGATCTGCTTGATCACCTTATAAGTAATGCTGAATGTTACTACCATCAAGTTCTTGAGAACCAGCTGGGAGCTTACTACAGCATAATCTCATTAAACTCCATGGGGTCTCTGATACAAACTGAACTCACTCAAAAACTCCGTTACCCTCTGAGGCGGAGAAAACATGGCAGATAAAGCACCAAGAAGTTCACTTCCCTTCTCACTCTATGGACCCTGACCTGACAGTCTGTGTTGTAGGCATAATTCATATATTTCTAATCATCCTGATTTCTTTCTCCTTCCAATCCCACAGGAAATGAAAAGTATGAAACCTTTTTAAATCAAGCCAGAAAAAACCTGGAAAAAGAACACAACAAATATGAAACACTCATTCACTTAGAGACAACTGAGGAAATGCCTGAGGATGAATCTTCTGAGGTAAGATTAGCTTCACCCTGCACAGAATGAATGTGGCAGAAGAACAGTAGGTGCTTGAGGAAGTAGAATTAAAAGCAAAATTTTTTTCCAACCCAGAAAATCTCTCCACAGAGGGAGAAGAGAAAGAAAACAATTTTATTGTTGAATAAGCATTAAACCAGAATGTGATCCACATTACAGGCAGTTCACTAAGAGATTGCAAAGACAGAAAGAAATCTCATCCTTTTATATAACCAAACATACAACCTATTACATACATGTTCTGGAGATAAACACTAGTCCTTAAGTAAGAACTATAACTAGCTATAACTAGTCCTCAAGTAAGAGAACTTGACAGCACCATCTGTCACACATAATTCATCCTGAATTCATGTGGTAATCAGGGTGACCATCTGTGTTGGATAATTGGCTTTATCCAGAGGGGAAACTCTCGTGTAGGATAGAGCCCTCTGAAGTCAGGCTCCTAGGCTGTCACAGAAACTGGGAGATGGGGCCTCTATCTTACTTGATGATCGCATTTCAAAGAGAAGGTTCCTGACCTCTTGAGGAAGATACTCCTGGGTCATAAAGCTGACCAGAGGCTTATGTAGGCTTTAAAAAGATTTATACACATTTCAGAAAAATAGAGAAAGAACTCACAAGTTTTCTAAAGTAATTGTTCTAAGAAAAGGGAGTGGGGAGAAGTCTCTCGAAGTCTCTCCCCTTATTTTCAACAAGGAGAATTCACCCTCTTATTTTTCATTTGTATTTGGCCTGATAAGCTCCTTCTTCATAGCCATGCCAATCTCCCATCCCTTACCCTTGGCAACCACTATAGTTCTCTGTCTCTATACTTCCGTTATTTCAAGAATATTATGTAAACAGAATCATACAGTATGTAACCTTTTTCATTGAGCGTAATGCCCTTGAGATCCGTCAATATCAATAGTTCTTTATTTTTCATTGTTGAGTAGTATTCCATGATGTGGATATGCCAGTTTCTTTACCCAACCTACCACCCCCATGAAAATTTTAATACCACACATATACCGTATATCTGTTTATGTACTGTGCCCTTTGGAAGGCCATGAATCAATGTACTATCTACAATTTTTTTCATTACCCCTTCCATGAAGCAATTCTGTCCCGCTTAGAGGTGATTTACCCCCACTGAGAATGCATGTTCTACAAGAAATTGCTCACTTGCTGTTCTTCCTTACTCCCTTACTCCAGTTAAGTCCTCAGCTCCAGATGGAGGTAGAGCGACTTATAGTCCAAGGCTATGCCACAGAACATCAGAAAACAATTATCCCCGATTCCACAGATGACTTTAGCCATCGGAGTCATTGCAAACTAGCCAAGTGAGTGTCCTTGTGTTTCGGGCTTGTTTCAGAGGGCAGCAGAGAAAACGGTGTTGCTCACCAGAGCACGGCCTGAATTAATTAGTGGTTGATCATCTAGAAATGAAATCTACTCGCCTCCTGGTCTCTGCCTATGAAAGTCAGAAACTTCTGGCTTTGCCTAATGGAGAGCCTGGGTCTCAGGTTCATGAGGGCCCATGCTGCATGTGTCTTTAGATAATGATTGAAACAGCAGTGTGGACTCCTGGGTGTGGGGGAGTTTCTTGTTCCTAGTCTCCTCTCCAGAGGGTGGTTCTTCTCTTCTCTCAAGGACAGAATTATGACAGGGGACAGAAGAGAACAGCACAATCACTCTTTTGGAAAAGTGACTGGTAAGGAGAGCTTGTTAACTGTTTCAGAGTCCAGCTGCCAGAGTATATCCTGGACTTTGGCTACATCATCCTTGGTGACGTCCGAACACACATCATCAAGATCACCAACACCAGTCACTTCCCAGTGTCCTTCCACGCGGAAAAGCGCGTCCTTCATGACACAGGTAACCAGGCTGGGGAGACCCTTTCCTCTTGCCCTTGTCATTTCCAACAAGGTGCCCAGCTGTACTGTTTTTCTAGAGTCGTATTCATGCTTCCTCTGGGATCAGCTGAAAGAATTCTTAGGCCATTAATTGAGACTTGGAGTGGTCATCCTGCCCCAGAAGGGCTCTACCTACAGCAGCTCTTGTTTGCCATTTCTCTTTCCCACAAAGAAATTTTGTTTATATTGGTCCAGGCTTCAGTACTGAGTTAGATCGTGTAAAGAATCTGCCTTACTGTGAGACGGAAACATTTGAAGTGAAATTTGACCCACAAGGGGCCAGTCTTCCTGTTGGAAACAAAGAGGTCATTTTGCCCATCAAGGTAAGATGCAATGCTGGGCCCAGCTGATCATCCCCAACTACCAGCTCTGTTCACCCGTTACCCCTAAAATGATCCAGTTACCATTTCAGAGCCATGAGTCTTCCCCTAACCGCATGCCATGTGGTAACAGCAACTTTATGCCTGCTCTAGGTGGTTGGAGGGCCAACAATTCACATCTGTCTCCAAGCCAAGGTGACCATTCCCACTATGACACTGTCTTGTGGAAAAGTGGAGTTTGCCACAATTCAGTGTGGACAGTGCCTCGTGGAAACTGTTCAGCTTTCTAATCCTCTCCAAGTCCCTTGTGAATGGTTCGTCCACAGCCACAAGCCAGTTAACAAGGTAAACGAGTTGTGACCCATCGGTCCCCTTCTTCCAACTCCATTTCAGCCAGATTTGTCATTCTAAGCCTTTGCTTTTTTTCATTATTTCAGTCTTCTGCTCAAGACCTGCAGTGACAACCATTGCTTCTGAAATATAATCTAGGCCCTTAGCCCCGCATTCAAGGACTTACCAGGCCACACTGTCTGGTGAATGTCTTACTCATTTCTATAGCCCTGGTATCTACACATTCCCTGACACCCGGGGGGGGACTCAGTAAATGTAGCCGAGTGAGTGGAGGATGGAATAAATGCATTTTCCATAGTAGATTATCTCGTTGTCTACTATCTATTAAACAGCTGGAGAAACACATGCCTAAATACTTAAGACAGAAACTACATGCTGAATCAAAGCCAAAGACACGCATCTTTGAGATCCAGCCCATGTCTGGGGTCTTGGATCCTGGGGAGAGGTCCAACGTGCAAGTTAAATTCATGCCTAAAGAAGAGGTAAGCTTTAAAGAAATGTGGCTCCATTCAGACTCTCTGGGTCTCTTTGAGCTTTCCTCAAAGGCCATACTTGATGAGGCAGGTGTCCAGGGAATTTCTGAGTGACCTTGGCCTCGCTACTGTGATAAGGACTTATCAAGTGCTTGTTTCATGTAGGAGCTGTGTGACCTGGTAGTTAAGAGCACCAGCTCCAGAATCAGATCTATCTAGCACATTGACTTTTATTGGCAGACCTGGGTGAGGGGGCTTCTGCTTCTGTACTTGGAGGCTGCATGGCTTTGAGTAAATTACTTAGCCTCTAAACCTCAGTCTGCTCATAGACAAAATGAAAAATAATATCACGTGTCAAAAATCCCCTATTGCAATTCTAAAATCCAGTAAGCTCCACAGAAACCAGGGGGGAAATTTTCATAAGTTTCAGACCCAAATTCATTTGGTGGAAAAACCTCACCTGAACTGACAGGAGACTACCTAACCTTTATTTATTCCACTTAGTTTGCAGAGTCAAACATTGCAACTGCAGAAATATTAGTGTTTGGTTTTAGGGGACCTGCCCCAGCCCCCGCTGAGGATATTACATAACAGAGGGTCTGTGCACTACATTTACCTTTTAAAAATATGAATTTGAAAGCATCTGGCTCTTAGGGTTTCAGCTAAGAAAGTATCAACCGGCCATACCTACTTCCTAGGGTTATTTTGAAGATTAAATGAATTAATGTGAATAAAAAGCACAGCAAACTGCTCTATATGTAGTAAGTATCTCAATAACTATTTACTGTTGTCATCAGTAGTTGGGATAATAATAAGTACTTCCTGGTAGATGTACTCCCTGGACCTCACAGACATTTCTTTTTGAATGCCATTGTCACAAAGCTACTCCTAGCAAAGAACACAGTAAAAATAAAATCCTACAGCCAGAGAGGAAGGATCTCAAGAGGTTACACTGTAAAGACTTGCGCTCAAAGCCTAAGGCATTAAGGAGATGGCTTTCTCTCCTTTCTTCTTTTAAAAGAAAAAAAATCAGTGTGGGTTTTATAGAATACTTACAATTAATGCCCATTTTCCTGGTAATGGAAATGCTTTGAAGAATGCTGAAGAGTCTATAGTGAGAAAGAAGAAAAGCGAATAACTTCATATCTGATTCTAAAATAAAACCTCTGTTTCTTTCATTATCAAAATCTCCCCAACCCTTTCTTTGAAAAGAAAAGAGAATTAATATGTTTGTCATTCTTAGAGTCTTAAGACTGTTAGGGGGTTTATCGTCAGGGTTGCCAAGATTTTTGATACTTGACTAAATGAGGGACAGACATATCAGTAAATAAGTAAAAAAAAAAAAAAATTTGTTCAGGTAGTTCTATATATGTTGAGTTGGAGCTGGTCAAAGTTAATAAAATGTTTCCACCAACTGGGAGAGCAATTTATTGGTGATATATAAGGAATTGGTTAGCCTTGCAACCCACACAGTCCACATCTCTATCTCCTTCAGCATCAGCAGCATAGGAGAAATCACTGATGTTATAATAGATGTTCAGAATACTCTGTTAGAAAACAAGGAAATGAATAAAATGTCTTAGAAATATTTCCATAAAAAGCAATTAAAAGATAGAATTTTGGATCAAAAGGTGCTAAGTCCATAGCCATACAGAAAATCCTTTTAGGGGCACCTGGGTGGCTCAGTCATTAAGTGTCTGCCTTCAGCTCAGGTCATGATCCCAGGGTTCTGGGCTCGAACCCCGTGTCCAGCTCCCTGCTCAGCGGGGAGCCTGCTTCTCCCTCTCCCACTCCCCCTGCTTGTGTTCCCTCTCTTGCTGTCTCTCTTTCTCTGTCAAAATAAATAAATAAATAAAATCTTTAAAAAAAAAAAAAAAAAAAGAAAACCCTTTTAGCCAATAATTCATTCTCTTACTGTCTCCAACAGTATTTTCTGGGTGTGTATGTATGTCCATCCACATTCTATCCATCTGATTTTCCTTCTTGAGCTAAAATACTTCGGAGCTCTTCAAATTATGAAACCAATCATGGCCTCCAAACCCAAGCCATGAGCCTAACTATACCAGAATGACCTGAGCATGTGGTTAAAAATGCAGATTTCCCAGCCTTACCCTGTCCCTATCAAGTCAGAATCTCTAGGGATGGGGCCTGTGAATCCACATTTTTAATAGGTTCCCCAGTAAAACCAGATTAGGATAATTGGTATCCCTATCAATTGGTATCAGACTGTAATTATATCTGATAAACTAAATGCCCCAGCTGACCATCCCTGACCCACTGCTTGGCTGTATCTTCAAATAATAGAAATATGTTAATTCAGATTCTATAAGAAACCGACTTGGAGACAAGGATTCAAGTGCAAGCAGATTAATTGGGAAGTGTAGGGAACACTGATGGAGAAGTAGAAGGTGGTCGGGGGAAGGAAGGCTGCTAATAGGGTGTGCAAATGAGCCAGCTGCCTTGGAGACTGGAACATAATCCTACTGGGAAACTCTGAGGAAATAGACAAAATGCACATTTCAGAATTATCCCTTCCCAGGAGCAAGGGACCTGAGGTATTTATGTGGTAGTTCCTGAGTCATTGGTTGAGGATTGCTCCCAGAAGATGTTAATCCCAGCACTTCTGCCCTGCCCTGCCCATAGGCAGCAGGGCCCATGAAATGAGAGCCGAGAGGTGCAGATAGTGGCCCATCTGAGTGCACTGGAGGGTCTGGAGGATATGAGTGTGGCATCCGAAGGGCCTTCTATGAGTGATGAAGCCCTTGGTACAGTGCGTGGCATGCTGGATACCCAGTATTAATACAGTAATATAAATTGTTCTCATGCAATTTTACATAAAAAGTTTTCTCTCTTAATCTCCATAGCATCAGTTTTGTCCCCACAGTGGTTTTCAGGTTTACATCGCACGTGACAAAAAACAAAGTTAAGCTGCTTGTTGTGTTCTCATGTCTTGCAGAAATTCTACAGCCAAACCCTGGTGTTCCAGATTGCCCAGAGTGCTCAGAAGCTTACGCTGCTGGCACAGGGGCAAGGTTTAGAGCCACGCTTGGAATTTAGTCCTTCGGTTCTGGAGCTGGGGCCGCTGCTGCCATATGCACCGGGAGACGAGGCTGAGGTGGTGGTGAAGAATCCCTGCAGCTTTCCCATTGAGTTTTACTCCTTAGAATTTGACCAGCAGTATCTCTTAGAAGCGAAGGTGAGCAGAGGCCAAAACCAAATTCCATTTTCCTTCCCCTGCTGGGCCCTGCCATGTACAGGTGCTCTTCCCTCAGTGTGGACAACTTCCTCCCGACCTTTGTCCCTTCTTCCCCTTAAACCCTTCCTTGTCAATTTGAAGATCACTTTGTAGCCTTTCCTGACGTCCTTCCCTTGCTCTGAGCAGAATTTGTTGCTTCTTTGTGATCTCATTACACATTTTAAACAACTAATTGAAAAACTGATAGATGCTCATGGTTAAAATTCAAACAGTAATGAACGTGTGCAGCTGTCATTATATTTGAAGTGAGTTTCTTGTCAACAGCATGTAATTGGGTCTTTTAAAAAAAAATACACTCTGGTAGTCTCTGTCTTTAATTGGTGTATTTAGACCATTTACATTTAATAAAATTATGTTAGGGCTTAAATCTGCCACTTTTTTTTTTTTTTCTGTTTGTCCTGGGCTACATATTTTCCAATTGTTCCTCCATGTACTTTTTTTTTTTTTACTTTCTTTTTTTAGAGCAGTTTTAGGTTCACAGCAAAATTGAGGGGAAGTTACAGAGATTTCCTGTATAAGCTGCCCCCCCACTCATGCATACCTTCCTCTATTATCAACATCCCCTACTAGCGTGGTATATTTGTTACAATTGATGAACCTACACTGATACATCATAATCATCCAAAATCCACAGTTTACATTAGAGTTCACTCTTGGTGTTGTACATTCAGTGCGTTTGGACAAATGTATAATGACACTCATCCACCCATTACAGTATCATACAGAACATTTTCACTGCCCTAAAAATCCTCTGTGTTCTCCTATTCATCCCTCCCTCTTCCCAACCCCTGGCAACCATTGATCTTTTTACTATCTGCATAATGTGCCTTTTCTAGAATGTCGTATAATTGCAATCATACAGTATACCTTTTTATATTGGCTTCTTTCATTTAGTAATATACACTTAAGTTTCCTTCATGGCTTGATAGCTCATTTCTTTTTAATACTAAATAATATTCCCTTGTCTGGAGATAGCAGTTTATTTATCCACTCACCTACTGCAGGACAACTTGGTTGTTTCTAAGTTATGGCAGTTATAAATAAAGCTGCCATAAATATCCATGCGCAGATTTTTGTGGGACATAAATTTTTATCTCCTTTGGACAAGTACCAAGTAGCACAATTGCTGGATCATGTGGTAAGAGTATGTTTAGTTTTATAAGAAACTGCCAGACTATCTTCCAAAGTGGTTGACCATTTTGCATTCCCACCAGCAATGAGTGAAAGTTCCTGTTGTTCCTCATTCTCATCAGCATTTGATGTTGTCAGTGTTTTGGATTTGGGCCATTCTAATAGGTATGTAGTCATATTTTGTTTTGACTTGCATTTCCCTGATGACCTATGATGTGGAGCATCTGTTTATATGCTTATTTGCCATCTGTACATCTTCTTTGGTGAGGTGTCTGTTAAGGTCTTTGACCCATTTTTTAATCAGGTAGTTTGTTTCCTCATTGTTGTGTTTTAAAAGTTCTTTACACATTTTGAATAACAGAAGTTTATCAGATGTACCTTTTGCAAATATTTTCTCCCATTCTGTAACTTGTCTTTTCATTCTCTTGACATTGCCTTTTGCAGAGCCAAGGTTTTTAATTTTAATGAAGTCCAGCTTATCAATTATTATTTTCATGGACTGTGCCTCTGGTGTGTATATAAAAAGTCATCATCAGGGCGCCTGGGTGGCTCAGTCATTAAGCGTCTGCCTTCGGCTCAGGTCATGATCCCGGGGTCCTGGGATTGAGCCCCGCATCAGGTTCCCTGCTCCGTGGGAAGCCTGCTTCTCCCTCTCCCACTCCCCCTGCTGGTGTTCCCTCTCTTGTTATGTCTCTCTCTGTCAAATAAATAAAATCTTTAAAAATAAATAAATAAAATAAAAAGTCATCATCACACCAAATGTCATCTGGATTTTCTCTTATGGCACCTTCTAGGAGTTTTATAGCTGTATGTTTTTCATTTAGCCCTATAATCCATTTTAAGCTTTGTGAAAGGTGTCAGATCCATCTGGATTTGGGTTTCTTGCATCTGGATGTCCAGGTCTGGCATTGTTTGTTGGAAAAACTATCTTTTCTCATTGTATTGCATTTGCTCCTTTATCAAAGGTCAGTTGACTATATTCATTTGGGTCTATTTGTGGGATCTCTGTTCTGTTCCACTGATCTATCCGGGTCCATTTTTACTATCTCTACCCTGCTCTGCTACCTTGAGGATGAGCTGTATAAACTACCCCTTTATCTAATACCCTTAGTACTCTACTTTTTAGAGACTGCCTCTTAGTTCCCTACTGTGAGCAATTATGAAATTAGCTACTAATCTCTTTTTCTCTCTTCTCACCACCCTCTAATGTAAAATAATATTCTCTTCAATTAATGCTTGCTAGGTAAACATCTCAGGTGCACTCCCTCCATGTTTTGCTTCTTGTTTAGTATCTGTCATGTCAGAGCTTACAATATTAGGATGTCAGAACCTAATTTCTATCACTTAATTTTAGTTCTATACTTACATGTATTCGACGTTCAACACCAGTCCTTGTGATGAAGCTTCTCCGGTCACCACTATGTGGTCTGTAGTTCATTCCTTAGGAAGGGCTCAGGGGAACACTATTCCCTGAGTACACGCATGTTGGTAACTATTTATCTGTGGCTTTTATGCTTGAAGATAGGTTTGGTTGGATACAGTATCTTTCGCTCACGTTTGCGCTTGGCTATCTTAAATGCATTGCTCCATCGTTTTCTCCTATGCTGTTCATGAAGTCTGATGCTTAGTTTTCTGTTACATATTAAGTAGTTATCTGTGGCTGCAAAACAAATGCCCCCAAGCTTAGCAACTGAAAACAATAAACATTTGTTATCTCATGTGGTCTGTGGGCCAGGAATTTAGGAATGGCTTAGCTTCTACTTCCTCCGAACCTTCTCCCAACTCAGTCTTTGAGTCTTCTGTCTTCTTTACATCTAGTGTTTATTCTCTGCCCAATTTAGATTCTGCATCTAGGAGTTTTTCCCAGAATGGGAATTTGTCCCTCTGGAAGGGAGTCTTTTCATTAGGTATTCATGAATTGTTCAATGGCTTATGTTGGCACCGCACCCTCTGCTGTGGGCCAGGTTCAATGGAAAGCAGAATCTAAGACTCTGAGTTGTGCATGCAGGTTTCATAGGGAACACTCTCAGGAGCAACACTAGGAAACAATAAGGCAAGTAGACCTGGGCAAAGAGATGAACTGTGATGGGATTATAGCAGAGACCTCAGCAGACCCCACAGGAAGCTCTGGAGCTGGGCTGGCTCTTCAGAATTGCCCCACTTGAAGCAAGTTGGCCAGGCCTTTGTGTGTCTGCATCACCCAGTCTTTGGAATTTTCCTTCCTTTCCCCACTGACCTGCCATGCCAGCTCTGTTCTGTATCAAAGCTCCATATATGAATGGGTCTATTCTAAATTCTCTTTTCTGTATCATCTCACTGGTCAGTTAGTCTATCCCAATATTAATCCCGTGCTGTCTGTTACTCCAGCTTCAAAAGTCCTAATATCTAGTTGGGCAATCCTCTCTCTTTATTCTTCTTCATTAATGTTTTAACACTTTTTTTTATAAGATTTTATTTATTTATTTCAGAGAGAGAGAGAGAGAGAGCCGGAGCAGAGGGAGGGGCGGAGAGAGAGAGGGAGAAGCAGACGCCCCGCTGAGCAGGGAGCCCAATGGAGGGCTTGATCCCAGGACCCTGAGATCATGACCTGAGCTGAGGGCAAATACTTAACCCACTGAGCCAGCCAGGCGCCCCCCACTCTTTTTTTTTTTTTTTTTTTTTTTTACCACTTTCTACATTCAAGTAAAATTAACATACATGATTATATTACTTTCAGGTGTTTCAACTATTCTTAGCTCTTCATTCTTCCATATAAATTTTAGAAGGAACTTCTCAACAGTGCTTTTCACACAACTAAAAATAGTGATCCTGGAGAAAGAAAGGTTACTCAACAAAACAGCTTTTTCACATAAATTAGGCAGTATAGGAAGCTATTGCTTTCTAGAACTTTATTATACTATGTCTTATAAATATACATCCACACTAGGGTTACTAGATTTAGTAGAAAGAAAAACAAGTTACACAGTTAAATTTGAATTTCAGATAAAAAACATAGGACATATTTTATATGGACATTTTTATACTAAAAAAATTATTCATTGTTTATCTGAAATTCAGATTAAACTGCTCATCCCATATTTCATCTGACAACCCTAAAACATTCTCTCCCTACCTCCCCAAAGCTCCCCCACACATTCATGCACATGCATACTTAATACCATTTTACCAGTTTTTCCTTTTCTATTACATATTAAGTAGTTATCTGTGGCTGCAAAACAAATGCCCCCAAGCTTAGCAACTGAAAACAATAAACATTTGTTATCTCATGTGG